TCAGCCGCAAATCGACCATTAATTCGAGAAAGACCCTAATTTCAGATATTTTTCGACCCATGAATGTTAACATTCATATAACGTCTATTTCGAGAGGACGTCCACTCGTCCAATGTTAGACTAAAGCATAAATTCTTTTTTAATTGATTAATTTCAGCAATTTGTAATTGTTTAATTTTTTTAGTATAATCCATCACGACTTTCTGTATGCTGGTGGGTGATTTTGGAATATCACCGTATCCACGCATTGTTAAACATTTTCTTAAATCTTTTGACGTACAAAAAACACGAAATGGTAAACCATCAGAAGCAATCATTCTAGCTACTCTGGCAGGAAAAGTTTTATCTTTTTTTGACTTTTTGAAAAAATCAATGATCGTGTTCGTTTTTCTGGTTGTGCTCACAACACTATCGTTACTGTCAGATGTAGAAGCTGTTGTATTTTCAACAAACTTTCGCTTGTTCAAAACTGTGTTGTGTTTAGATTGAAGATGTGTGTGCATGGGAGTTGTACATCCACCCAATATCTTTAAAACTTGCTTGCATTGCATGCATTTCGCCACCTGATTTGTTTACCCTCGTAGAAAATATTTCCACACTGAATTTGATGAGCTTTCTTTTGAAATGTCCATAAAAGTTTCTTCAGATTTATCTACCATACTTGGGTTGGGATTTAAAACAATAACAATGTAAGTCTACAAAATTTTTGAAACATAAAATTAATATAATGACTTACTTTGTCTGCTCTGCATACAATTTAATTTCTTAATGTTAATATTTCATTAAAAAAAAATTTTTTAATGTATTTGCAGTAGCCTAAGCCTACTAAAATTTAAATTTTTTGAATTTATAACAATGAAAGTACACAATGCTGCCATCTATAGTAAAAGTTCTTCTAAATTCGAAATTCCGTTTAAAAATTCCGAAATTCTGTTTTAAAAATTTTAATTTTTATTACTAAAAACTCTTGTATTATACTACTGAGGATGACAACTTTGTTGTTGAAAAACGTTTTTAGTAATAAAAATTAAAATTTTTAGAACGGAAGAAATACATAATATAAAAACAAAACAAAAGTTTTTTTTGAAATTTTTATAAAAACAGTTCTAAATAACTTCAAAAATAAAATAAGAATTAAATAATCGAAATTCTAAATTCGAAAAATCCGGAATTTACGTTTTTGAATTCTGGATTTTTAAAAATTCATATGACGGAATTTCGGAATTCCGAAATTCCGAAATCTGGATTTGGATTCACTGGTAAAAATAGATAAAGTTGCAAACTAAGTGTTATGATTGGTTTTGCAAGTGAGTTTTTAGATTCTGAGTTACCCACATTAAGAGATGTTATAAAATATGGTCTGCTTCTAAGAAGAGATGAAAACTGCAAAGAAAATGCAAAACTTAAAGATACATGCAAAAAAGTAGAACAAAAAGTAGTATGCAAATGGATGCTTCGGATTTTAAAGAAACCAGTAGACAAGAAAAAAATAATAAAAGAAAGGCTACTGGAAAAAAGAAGCCACGAATAGAATACCTATCTTTTCATTCTTAAGAAAATGAAATCAAAGAAACAATTGATAATATTGCGAATACTGATGATGATGTTGTTTCTGACAATAGTTTTGAGTACATTAGTAGACAAGTTTCGAAAAAGACATTGAATATGGAAGAAGTTGCATTAGCACCAATAAGATATGGGGTATCAAATCAAGCAACTGCTGCTATTTCAATATTAGCACTGAAAGCAGCTAAAGAAGCAGGCTTTCTTAAAAAGAAAGTGTTTGACAGTGAAATAGTGACAGATCATAAGAAAATTAAAAGATCTAAATTGAAGGCGATGAGACAATTAAAATCTGAAAATGATAACGTTGTAAAAGATGGAGTTCAATGCATTTTATTTGATGGAAGAAAAGATGAGACAAAATGTTCTTTGATGGGAGAAGATGGAAAATTTCACCACAGACTTGTTCAAGAAGACCATTATTCGCTTTGTGCAGGGTGGTTTATATCTGTACCATTTTACAAATGATAAAGAAAACCGATGTGAGTGTAATACCCCAGCAGAACACATAGCAGAACATATATATAAATGGATTATTGAACATGGGGTAGAATCAACTCTAGTTGCTGTAAGCTGTGATTCTACCAATCTTAATACAGGTAAATTATTGATAATAAATACAGGTAAATATTTAATAATAAATGTCATACATATATTTAAACACAATTATTTTTTAAGTTGGAAAGGAGGTATCATTCATTTTTTAGAAAAAAAACTTCAAACAAAACTTATTTGGATAGTTTGCGCTTTGCACACAAATGAAATACCCTTGAGGCACTTAATGTCAATTATTGACGGGAAAACAACTTCAAATAAAAAGGCAATACTGGTAAACTTGTTCCTATTGCCAATGATCTCGTAATTTCCACTGTGATTCAAGATATAGATACTGAAATTAATTTATTAGATATTGATGAAGATATTTTAAAAACTTTATAGAGTGATCAAAAATATCTATACCAAATAAAAAAGGCTATTGAAGATAAAACAATGCCCAAAAATTTAAAAGAAATTCATGTTGGTCCCCACAATAACGCTGGTTGAATTTGGCAAGTAGACTTTGCAGAGTTTGGTGTTCAGAGCATGGACTAAATAAAAACGATATTGAGAATTTAAAACAACTTGTACAGTTTTGTGTTGGTGTATATTCTGTATTATGGTTTGAAATTAAAGTTAGAAATGTTTATATGTAGTTTGATAATCGTCTATTTATTTTTGAAAAATGTATTATTAATGTTTAGGCAAAACATAAATGGACCAATGGACCATACCATATTATCAAACAGCTGGACCTTGTCTGAAAAATGAACTTAAATATTCAACAAGCAGTTTTGCCCTATGTTTGCTCCTCTGCCTGGAATGCTCATAGTGAATCTATTCTACAAGCACTTGTATGCAGCAAAAATAAAGAGGAGAGGAAATTTGAAGTAAATAAAATACTTTCAATAAGGAGTTTGAGCTCTCTAGGAATTACTGCTGTTAGACCAAGAAATATCCCAAATATAAATACTAATGCTGAAACTACTATCGAATTGATTGATTGGAGTAATGATATTTACAAACCTTTGCTCACATGCAAGATTGGTAAAGAAGAACTTATTAAGTTTTTAGAAGTCCCAATGGAAGTTCCAGAATTTCCTGTACATGGGCAATCCATAGAAAAAATTGTGAAAGAAGTTACAAGAGCTTCTAGTATAGTATATGGACAGGAAAGATGAGACAGATTTATAAAGGCAACAATAGCTCACAGAGAACTTCTTGTTTTAGAATCTAAACAGAATTTGCTTAAGCTTTTTTAAGCAATAAGTTTAAATTTATTGTATATTTAGTAAAATTAAGTTTACTCTTGCATTGTGAATGATAAATTGGTAAATACTGCTATATACAATAATTAATGATTTTTCATGTTTCTAATTGGTTGTGCCTTGCATTGTTGTTGAGAAATCCTTTGAAACTGTTTTGCTGCATTACATTCACATAACATTGTTATGGAAGATATTACAGCAAAATATATCAAAAATAAAGATTTTTTTCAACTTTTATAATTGTAAGTTTTTAAGCTAAAATGATTATCTAGGTGTCTAATTAGGGGTATTTAGGAATTTTGTGGCAATGCCACAAAATTTGCAAAATTTTGTGGCATTGCACTGTATAATTAGTTTCCATTTAACAACTGGATTTCTATTGACATTTTTTAATTTCCGAAATTCTTTTAATAGTTCAGCGTCTTTTTTATATTTAATAATGTTAAATGATTTTATATGGCTGGGATATCTAATTTTGAAATGTATTTCACTAATACTGATGTAGAATTTATTGACAAGAGTATTAGTAGGATCATTGGAACTTATAATAGCTTGGTATACAATGTTTTTTGTTGAGCTTTCATAAAGAGATTTGATAAAGAGCAAGTATTTTTATTAATGCAGTTGCAGTCGGTTTTAGTTGGAATTTTTTGTTGTTTATAATGTGTTGGTTGTATGCATTTAAAATAGATTTTTTATATTTAGCATACAGGTTTAACTTATGTTTATTGTGTTTTTGTTGAAAATTTTGTAAAATTTGTGATTTTTCAGGAAATGCTTACTGATTAAAGTTGAAAAGCTTTTTCCTACATTAGTGCTGACATTTTTGCTGAAATGAAAAAAAAAACAACCAAATGATGTTTTGTGTACGGTTCATGGTATGAAGTAAATTTAAATTAGGGCGGTATAAAAGTTTATGATTAAAACTGGACCTTAACAGTGCATCATTGTCCATAGGAGTAGATCTTTAGATAATTTCTTCACTTGATGAATTTGCAGACAATCTTAAATCAATTGATTGCAGAAGCTGTTTTAAAATATTGGGTGGGTGGTTTGAATCAGTGTGAATATAATTTAAAGAATTTCGGGCTTAGAATAGGAATTGAAAAGTATGGTCATTGAGATTTAATGTGTCAAGGTAATTTATAACTTTCATGTTGCACTGTTTTGATATAGTGAGATCGTTTCTTTTAAATATATGAACAAAATGTTTTTCGATTTTTTCAATTTGGAGGCCACTCATATTTTTAAAAATCGCTAAACCGTTGTTGCGATATAATCCAAATTCATTTTTGGCAGGGTTTTATAAACGGACAGTTGGATTGAAGTTTTTTTTATGAACTTTAAATTTTATAAAACATTTTGAAGATGTGTTAATGTCAATTAACTTTTACAATGTTATTATTTTTTTTTTCAAATATTTTTTTAAATTATCTAACACTATATTATGTTTTATTATGTTAAAATTTATTACTTTATATTGATTACTTTGTAATAACAAATTGCCAAACTATGCAATCAGTATAAAAAAAAATTAAACTTAACTAAAATAAGTTTCAATTTGATCATGAGTTCATTACAATAAATAACAACATTTGTTAAAACAAACAATGAAAACAACTTTAATGTTACCTGTAGTAATGTATAAGCATGAAAAAGAATGAAGTAAGTCGAAGTATTTGTGCTGTGGTAAGCATTCTCAATGCCTAAAGAAAACTGAAAAGATTACTACAAAAACAGACCTGATTATAGCACTTATAAAATAAAAATTCAAAGAACACATAAAACAAATAGTTCTGAATGTTTGATAACACATAGAACAAATAATTCTGAATGTTTGATAACACACAGAGCAAATAATTCTGAATGTTTGATAATACATAGAACAAATAATTCTGAATGTTTGATAACACATAGAATAAATAATTCTGAATGTTTGATACCACATAGAATAAATTATTCTGAATGTTTGATAACACACATAATAAATTACAATAACTACCATTATAATAAATACCTACAGTATAAAAATGTTAAATAGCATAATTTTAAAAAGTACCCTGACCATATGCATGGGCCCTCCTTTCTTTACAATGGCATACAATCGATTGCCATACATAGCAAATACAACCAAATAAGCAATTAAAAAAAACTGGTTGAAACTAGGGAGATCTAAAGAAAAATTGGTCAAAACTAGGGATAAAGACCTTAATATAAAAAAACTCCAATTAAATTTTTACCAAAATATATATTATTTTATATATATATTATTTCTATTATCTCTATATTATTTCAATCTTAAAATCCGAAAAAATCCCATACCTGATTCTCCATAATCAAAGTGAGAATATTGCCCATCAACATAAAATTGATTCATAAGTTCAATATTGTATGCAATATCAGTTGAACTATTGCACCTAACATAACACAAATTCAAATACTGTGGTGACTTTTTTTGAGTTGGATGAAAATGATAAACTTTTGTTGCTGAATTCAATGCAACTAAAAGCAACAAGTTAAAAATTGAGCACAAAATTTGCTAAAAAAGATACAAATTAAAAAAAATAATAATAGTATAATTTATATAATATAATGAAATAAAATAATCTAATACTAAATATGTGTGCTGTTTTTATCTGCTAAAAGCTAGCTAGAGGATGTTCTATATTTATGAAATACTTTTTCAATTTTTTTTTTAGTTCTTAATGCTTTAAATAAAACTTAACTTTTGCTATACACTGGAACCATGGTGATAAGATTACCATGGTAATAAGATTACATAGTTTAGAAACAAAGAAAAACTATTTTTTTGAGTTGTCACAAAATCTAATAGCTTTATTTTCCTAGTTTTTTAAAATGCTAAAAATCACACATTTTATAATTTATAAGAAAATTATTTGGTAAATTTTTTTAAACTTTGTATAGGAAACTATTACACATAATTTACTTTTATTTGGCATATAAACTAAGCTATTAATTTAAATCATTAATTCAATTTATAATTATAATAAATTATAATTAATGATTAAAATTAATAGCTTAATATTCAACTCTTGGTTTACTTCTCATCTGGTTAATAATGATAAACACTGTGGAGTCTTGATCTGGTGGTTTAACTTGAAACATTGTGGAGTCATGATCTGGTGGTTTAACTTAAAACATTGTGGATTCTTTCATGATCTGGTGGTTTAACTTGAAACATTGTGGAGTCATGATCTGGTGGTTTAACTTGAAATGTCTGTTACTATCTTAATCAAGATAAACATTTTCTGCAGATCCACAAAGGTAAGACATACATTTTACAAGTTCAACAAGATAAACCAGGTTTAAAAACTTTGTTTTGGAATAAAAAATCATTTTCTGTCATAGTTGCAGAGACTCCTTTGTAAATCTGTTATTAGTAGTTTTGAAGCTTTTCACTTTAAAAAGAATCTTTTTAGCCTTTATTACTGGATCTTCTGAAGAAATTTTGAAATCACTTACCAAGAATAGGATGCTGACATCTCTCTTAGTAAGTTTTTATCATCATCATCATCATCATCATCATCATCATCATCATCATCATCATCATCATCATCATCATCATCATCATCATCATCATCATCATCATCATCATCATCATCATCATCATCATCATCATCATCATCATCATCGTCATCATCATCATCATCATCATCATCATCATCATCAAAATCATTACCATCATCAGGCCTAGTTATAAGACTTTATTGAGTAATAAAAACGCATAACGCTAATAAATGAAACTTTAACAAAACATTGATATCTACATCGTTAAAGGTTAACTTTTAACGATGAGCATTACACGGTATTGAACTTATGAGAAAAAAAAGTTTTAAACCTGTTTATAAAAAGAATTACCTTTTCAAAAAACTGTAAATCATGCAGATGCAGGCTTGGTCGGGAAGCCGGAGCGATCGCTCTCGAATACTGACCACGGAAATTATATTTAGTTGCGAAAAACTGGCCAGGTTTTTTAGTCGTTTTGAGAACATTTAAGTTTATGTACGAAACAAAAAATTTTTGTTTTACGGACATACATGGAAACATAATAAACTTGAATGTTCTCAAAACATCTTTGTGCGAAAGAATAAAAAGAATATTCGCGAGCACTAAAAACCCGCCAAATTAACGAAGAAACTAATTCTATTGGTTCAAAAAATACGCTGACTTAAATATGCGAAATAAAGTTCTAGAGTATTCTGTTAAAATGTTTTTGAAAATGTTTTAGCTACGTTTTGAGATTTCTAGCATAAATTGTTTTAAGAATAAATAAGTTAGGAAAAAAAGCCTCTATATGGCAATTAGCTGGAGGAGGATAAACCACAATACCAAATTGTTTTAAAAATAAATATATGTTATTTGTTTACAAAAATAAAATTTTTAAATATGTATTAAATTGTTAAAATTTTAAAAGTTTATTATAAATTATAGATTTTATTAGTATATTCTTATTTTTTATTTAAAAAGTATGTATTTTTATGTAAATGTAATTTTGTGTATCTGTTTTTTATTGTAATGTATCTTTTAAAGCAAATTTTATGATTTAAACAAAGACTTACAAAAATAATTGCGTTTTCAATGAAGTTATAATCATTATAGTTAATAAAACTAATTATGTAACAAATATAAGAAGTTTCTGGTTATTAAACACAAACAACGCGTACAAAGTAACTCGCAGATGAACAAGCACCGCGCCTGAGGTCATGACAGAACACAAATATATATAGCAAATAATTAGATATAAAGAAAAGTTACTAGATATTGGTTTACTAACTCTAATTATTTTCGCTTAAGTTGCCATTCTTAAAACTCGTTATACTTTTTTCTGCTTTATATACTAATTAAAATAAAAAAAAAGCCCACTCACTAAATATTACCAGCGATATTGTGAAACAGTTTCGCTTCCTCGTCATAAAGTATTTTTAACCTTAAGTTGATTTCTTTATTGTTAATTTAATTTCTATAGTAATTCAATGATTTAATTACTTCATTTATTTATCTCACTAAAAAGAATTGCTTCAAATATGTTAAACTTTTCAAACTACGCGAAACATAAAATAGGTATTGAAAAAATTAACCTTATTATTTATAAAATAATTGAACTTAAATAAAACTAAAACTTGCAAACTTTGTTAAATAAAGAATATTTGTTTCCTTTTTAAACAATCGTAAGTTGTTACTTTATATAAAAAATATCGCTTAATTTTATAAAAAAAATTATAAAAGAGCGATGTTTAGAAAATATTTGTTCTAAACGTAATTTATTTAGCTTTAAGTTTTTTTGCGTTTAAAGATTTCGCGTTTAAAAATTTACCTAATTTTTTTTGTAATTGTCTCTCATCCGTCCAAATAATCTTTAGCGCTTTTTTTTTTTGCTTTTTAAAATGCTCAAAACGACTAAAAAATCTGGCCAGCTTTTCGCAACTAAATATTATTTACGTGGTCAGCAGTCGAGACCGATCGCTCCCGCTTCCCGACCAAGCCTGCAGATGCTATTTATGAAAAATTATAATACAAAATTACTATTGTGAAAAGGTACTATACTGTGTAATTAAGTCTACATAGTACTTTAACCTTTTGCTAATTTAATTATAAAAATTTTGTTAACTTTTATCTTTTTAAACAAAGTAGAAAAAGAAGTTGAGTATAATAAAAATAATTATTTTTTTTATTGACCAAATATTTTTTAGCAACTAAATAGTTTTAAAAAATTAGAGTTTATTGAATCTTTTTTATTTTTTAAATTCTAAATTATTGATATATTTTTAAAACATTAGAAAAGTGCATTGAATGAACACCAATCAACACCAAATTAACATTTTTCATTTTATTTATTGATTCAACAGATCACCAGTTAAATACATGATAATTTAATACTTTGTAGAAGACAAAAATATCATTTTTAGTGACAAAATCATGAATAAAATGGCAGGTTTAATCAAAATGTTTTGAGCAAATCTGCCTTTTTAAAAAACACTTATTCAATTGTCAGACATTTAAAATCGATATTTTTATTAAATTTGTTTCACTTTGTTAAGCATTTTCACAATGCAACTGTCACAAAACTATGCAGTATTAAACTCTTAGTAAAAATCAACAAAAACATTGTATTTGAAAATTTTTCTAAAACTACAGACAAAGATTATGATTTACCATTCAACATAGTTAAACTTTGACTTAATTAAGCATAATTAAGCATAATTAAGCTTAAAGCTTTGTTTAGGGGCTGTCCATTAATTACGTCAACAATTTTTTGGCAATTTTTCACTCCCTCCCTCCCCCTTGTCAACAACTTGTCAAACTTTCAGTGACCCCTCTATAAAATTAATTCAACATTCGATAACACTCCCCCACCACCACCACCACCACCAAAAAAAAGAGAAAAAAATTAAGATAAAAAAAAAAAGTTTTAAGTTGACTAGTTTAGAACTGAAACAAAATAGTGTTTCAAAGTTAAATGTTTAGAAAAAAATGTATTCAAATTTTAATTTATGAACATATTTCAAATGAATATAATCATATAAAATTACAAATGCTTGCTCTTAACAAAAAATGAATTAAAGTAAAAGGTACAGAAAAAAAAAATTAAACTTTTAACTTATAAACATAATTCTAGTTTAAAAATACTAAGAATTACTCATAAGAAAAAAAAGATTAAAGGGTTCACAAAAATGTTATAATATTATATTTAGAGATGCGGATTCCCCAAAAGAACTCCAGATTTGAATGTCACAAAAAGATTACTTCTTCCTAGTTTTCGGTATCCAGGAGCTCTAATAATATAAAAACGTTTATGGATTAATATTGGTAAAAAAGTTAAGACTTTTAAGTTAGAGGAACAATCTCTTTTTGAACCTGGATTCCTTAGGTATAATGGCGGCTAGGACTCTGGGACTCCGGGCTTAAAAACAATATGTTTCAAGTCATTAAACTTCACGAGTTTTTTTTATTTAGCAGATCATAAATCAACCAATATGTTCAGAGCTTTTGGACACCAGAGACCAGTAAAAAAATAGAGATATAAAACCAGAGTCCTTTTGGATCTCCGCATCCCTAATTATGCTAATATTTGTCAAGATAATAAAATTTCGATGTCATGATGCAGCTAAAGAGTTTCATCTTGACATCGAAAAAATCACAAGAGGCTTGCGAGCTGCAGGTTGTACCCCTTGTATAAACTTTTAAACAATGAAATATAGACAATGTACTTACATGAATCTTTTTTGAATGCACAGCAGATTAAAACAACAATAACTTTGAAAAAATAATAATGTTACAAGTAAACATCTTGTGTGTAGTTATTTAGTTCTGTATGTTGGGTCTTTTTAAAGCACAAAACGATTTTTAAAAAGTAGGAATATAAATTATAGGATAGGTATCAAAATGCTGAAGGTTGAGTGACTATATAACACAGGACTGCAAACGCTGCCTAATTTTCTTTTTTTTTTTTAACAGTTAAATTTGTAAAAAAAAGTAACATGTTCAAAAAAAAAAAGTGTTGACATCAACTTTTCTTGACCTCCCCCCTCCCCCTTGTCAACAACTGTCAAAAAAAAATGCAGACCCTCCCTCTTCCCTTTTTTGTTAACGTAATTAATGGACAGCCCCTTAACTTCAATGTTGATACAAGTTTCAATATAAACAATGAAAAGAATAGACCTTTGTTTCTTTGAAAAGATTGTTTCAAAACTATATATTTCTTATGACTGCTGGAAAGCCAAAAAACTTTTTAATCCACACATAAGATTAATTTTTAAATTTTGTATTTACAATTTTAGAGTAAAATTATTTTCATACTTAACAAAGTTACAAAATAAAAACAAAACAAAAAATTGAAAAAAAAAAGTGTTAATATACAGTAAAAATAAAAATCATGCATTTATAAAAAAAATTAGGGTACTAAGGGTGTGTCAACTAAAGCATTATACTTTTATATAAAGTATAATGCCAGTCCCCCTTTTTAAATTAATTATATATAATTAATAAAAATAGTAAAACATAAACTACTTCAATATATAAATTTAATCAGTGGAAAAAACTATTAAATAAAGAAACAAACCATCATGATGTGTAATTGCTTTTACTTCTTCACAAGTATTATTTTTAACATTATACCATTCTCTATCAGTTAACAAAACCAAATGTAAGTTTTCATCTGTGGCATTTAAAGTAAACTTAAGCACACCATTAACTAAATTGAAATTTACATTTAAATTTAATGTTTATAAATATATTTGAAAAATAAGCAGAAATAGGACAATTTTGTCTTTTAATAGTATATACAGCCTGCCCAAACTGCATATTATAAATTTACACTAAAAATTTTAAACATTAACTGCAAAAAGTACATACACAAACTGATAGGTTTTGGCTAAAAAAAGGTTTAAATACACTTTCCTATTTATAAAATATTTTATGAATTAAAGGGGGAAAAAAAAGTTTTTTTTAAAGTTTTTAATTGAGCGCATTGACATGAACTTTAGGGACAGGTGCAAAGAAATATTATTAGGGTAATTTTTTATAAACAATAATAATTGTATAGAACTTTTCAAAAAAAATAGTGAAATATTTTGACACCACTTAGTTTAAAAAAATTATAACTTTTATTTTTAATCATTTAACTTTACGACTAAGACAAGTTTTTAGTTTTCATTATATCAAAAATGCCTTGGTAACAAAGTAAGTTTTTATATTCAGTTATCAAAATCAAAAAATAATTTAAGTTAGATTTTAGATTTTTAACAAAAACAATGTAACATGTTAAGCAATGGTTTCATTTAAAACTTTACAAGATTCAAATTGATACTGAGTTTATAAAAACCACTTGTATAATTATAAGGCTTTAAAGTAAACAAGAAAAAAAAAAATTAAGTTAAAACCTCTTAGTATTTTAATAAATTGCCTTGGCAAAAAAGTGCTAAGGCAATCTATAAGCCCATCTGCAAAGCACAATAAGTCTCTGTGCAGTTAGGAACTTCATTTTTCTTTATAATTTTTATAGTCATTAAGTAATATAGATTAGGTAAAACAAGTTATTTAATAATTTTTAAAAAGGAGGGCAATATTCTGAATATTCTGGTAAAAAAAACTATAAAAGAAATCATTTCTAAAATCAAATTCAATATTGTGTAAAGTATATATATATATATATATTATATATATATATATATATATATATATATATATATATATATATATATATATATATATATATATATATATATATACATATATATATAAATATATTATATATATTTATATATATATATATTCATATATATATATTCATATATATATATATATATATATATATATATATATATATATATATATATATATATATATATATATATATATATATATATATATAAATATATATATATATATATATATATATATATATATATATATATATATATATATATATATATATATATATATATATATATATATATATATGTATATATATATATATATATATATAGTTGTGACAAAATCATAAAATCTCAGTCTATTAACAGTCAATGGCGCAGTTGGTGGTCTGCGCGGTATGAAATTCAAAATCCATAGAGAGTTTTCTAGAAATTCATCCAGACATAATTTTCTATGCAATCATGTAGTACCTTATTGAAATAGTCTACCAGATTTTGTCTTTGCTTCAAAGACGGTTGACAAATTCAAAAATAACTATGACAAATGGATTAATTCAATAGTTCATCGGTCTACTTTAGTGGGTCTCGATAGATTCCCAGCTCATAGAAGTTTCGAATTTTTATTGTAGAATAATAATAATAATAATAATAATAATAATAATAATAATAATATATATATATATATATATATATATATATATATATATATATATATATATATATATATATATATATATATATATATATATATATATATATATATATATATATATATATATATATATATATATATATATATAGACAGGAATGGTGTGCTATTGCACTCTGTAACTGACCATGCTAATAGTTTTTTTTCTTTACAACTTGACCATGCCTATTTTGATGTTTTAACAATTTAAATGCAATAAAAAGTGTTATGTTGTTAAAAACCTTTAATCGTTAATCTTTTCTAAAGTTTTTATTTCAAGTAAAGGCTTTAAAATAAACCATATAATTAATTTTTTTTTTAATGATTGTTTACATAAACACATGTGTAAATTATTAAAAAATGTTATATATAATTTTTTTTTATATAGGAATGTATTTTTCATGATAAATTTTAACATTTGAAACTATTTTTTCATGTCTTCCTAAAAATCTTTTAAAGCATTAATTTTAGAAAGATTTTTTTTAAAGTTACTTTAATTTATGAATAAGTTCAAAACCTTTTGCCACTACTAGCTTTTACACATTTACATTTAGCTTTTAAATATGAATTATACAAGAATATAAAATAACTTTATTTACTTATATAAGCATGTATTTTGTTATGTTCAAAAGACTAATTTTTATAATTAAACTAACAATTTTTTAAAATCTTTTAAAGACAAACATTTCATTTTTTGAAATTTTTTTTTTTTTTAATTATGATAGGAATGAATAAGTTTAAATCATTTATAATAATTTTTAAATTCGTTACGTAAAGCGCTTATTAATAAAGTTGTAATGCTCAAATTAGAATTAAATTAAATTGCTTGTTGACAGTTTATTTAATTTAAATCACAGGCGCATTTTATTTATTTATTTTTTCCTATTTTTACGAATAAAAGAGTTGAAAACCTTTTATTCGTTAAAATAAAAGGTTTCCAACCATTTTTTTTTACAAATAAAAGTTTTTTTTAACTAGACTTACTAATTAGAGCACTAAGTTATTTTTTTAAATAAAATTTTTATGCAACTTTTTTGAAAAAATAAATGTTTACATTTTTAAAATATTAAACACAATATTTTTTAATAAATTTGAAAAAATTTGTTCATTTATTAAATTTAGTAACTTGCCACTTAATTTAAAAGCGTTTTGCGTAACTTTAATAAAACATTTAAAAAGATTTATTTCAAACGTAACAAAAAGTTTCGCTTCAAGTTTAAGTTATTATTTTTAATTTAGTGCTTATATAATTTCTTTTTTGTAAATAATTTTTTTTCGTTAGGAATTTTTTTTTAGTTTTTTTTTAAAAACTTTTTTCCTAGTTTAAGTTTAATTTAGCGTTTCTACATTCTGTGCATTTTTTGAAAATTTTAAATTATCAAAAAATATAAGCAATCGAGTTGTCAAGAAATAAAATCATTTGCGTGGTCAGCGATATCGCGCTCGATCACACGCCATTCCTGTCCAAGCCTGTATTTATATACATATATAAATAGGCCTTCTCATAAGAGGCGTGTGATTGAACGCCTTATATGACCACGCATATAATTCTTTGTTTTAACAACTTGACCACGGCTCTTTGCAAGTTTTGATAATTAGCGTGTTTAATAAATGCGCTAAAAAAAACAAACAAATGCGATTTTTAATTTAATTGATTCCATAATTATAATTAAACTCCCACAAAATTTCCTGAGTACTTTAATGCAACTTAATTAAAGGCAATCATTGAAAAAAATATTCAGATTAGAGTGTAAGGCAAAATGAGTACAGAAGCTATAAAAAAATAATTACAAACCATTTTGTCATGGAAATATAATTTCTAATTAAGAAATTATTTACTAAAAAAAAGGAATTACAATAATCTTGAAACAATCGCTTCTGCCAACTATTTTTTATCCCAGGGCGTGACATATTGTTTTTTTTTTTTTAATGAACATTGACTTGCGTATCTTTATTTATTGACGAACATCTAATTTAAGAGATTTATGTCAAATAAAATTCAACTAATTTTTATTCGAGTTAATAAGTTATTAAATATATCAAAGATGCTTGGTAAATTTATTCAATTTTATTTTTCAAAAACCTTTTTTCTACACATTTGCAAAGTGCGCGCAAATTAATGATAAATGCACAATAAAAAAACTTTTAAAAGTGCAAAAGTTTTAATATGCAAACAAACATTATTTCACTATATGGAAAATAAGAAAATTTAAAAAAAAGCATGCTAAATTTTATTTATAATGAATACATTTGCTTTAAACTTTTAATGTAATTGCTAAGAACATAAAAGAAACCATCGTTAAACGTTATGATCGCTTTTCTCAATAAAAAGCAATCAAAATGTTTGAGTATGATTTCTTTTGAAGTTTTTGCAAAAGCATTTATTTTAAGTAAAATTATCTATGCTTTTGTAAGCGCATGCAAAAACCATGCTAAAACATTATTAATTTTAATTTGCTTTGTTTTTTTTTAGCGCATTATTTAAACGCGCTAATTATCAAAACTTCCAAAGAGCCATGGTCAAGTTGTTAAAATAAAGAACTTTATGTGTGGTCATATAAGGGGTGCAATCGCATGTCTCTTACGAGAAGCCCTGATATATATATATATATATATATATATATATATATATATATATATATATATATATATATATATATATATATATATATATATATATACACACACTGCAACCATTTTCTATAAGCGCATGTGGATTATGTCTTAAAAACCTTTATTTTTATAGTGTATTTCAATAAATTATAAACAAAGTATCAAAAAATAATGAAAATTATCAAAAAATAATATCAAATTTGAAAAGAGATCAATCATAAATGAATAAATTCAAAAGATAGCTGACTATTTTCTATAGACGCAGTTCACATTTTTTAACTAAAATATCAAAAAACATGTTTTTATCACGTTTTTAGTACTCGATTGGACCTCCTTTGCACTCAATTACTTTTGGCATACTTCCCACCAAGTTTTCCATCACTTTTGGCTCCATACCCTCCCAGCATTCTGATACCGCTACTTTTAGCTCTGCCACAGAGTTATATTGCTTCTGGTCGGCATAGATATGTCTGACAATAATTCCTCAGATGTTTTCAACAGGATTCAAATCTGGACTGTGAGCAGGTCACCACATTTGCTCAATTTTTTTTAGCTTCAAACCAAGCTTTAGCCTCGTTACTAGTGTGAATGCTGGCGTTGTCTTCTTGAAAAACAAACTTTTTTCGTCAAAATTTGTTTTTAAATGGAGTCAAACATGATTTTAGCACATCAATGTATTCAGAACTTTTTATTTTGCAAGATGCAAATGCTAAATTTAACTTTCCCGTTAAATATTTGGGTTCTCTCCTCAAATCACGCCAGTAGCCACTAAAACTATCAGGCCCATCAAGATTAAACTTTTTCTCATCCGAAAAAATCACCTGGTATTGAAAACAAAAATACTCAGCTATCTAGACATCTTACGTATTCATAAGAGTTTAATCTAAAATCTCTTACTTGTTTCCAATTGCTGCCATGTTTTCGCGGGCAAATTCCATCCGTTCCTGTTTGTGAACAGGCATCAAATTTGGTGTTTTATTTATTTTTGATTGTACAATATGTGGGCTGTCTTTAAGAATTTTCTTAATTGTCTCCTTGCAAACATTTAAACCCAAATCTGATATGATTGCTTTCAAACTTTTTGATCAATTTGATGCGAGTTGAACAATTCTGCGTTTTTCACGGTCTGAAACCTTAGATTTCTTTGGTTTCCTCTTGATTGTTGCATAACCTGTTGGATTTTTCAAGAAATTACGGATGATGTGATCTGATATCATAACATAGTCAATTTCAATAGTTTCATATTTTTGTTTATTGAGGAAGTCAAATGTTAGAGCAAAATCATTATCATCTGATACCCTTTTCATTTTTATAATTGAACGAGAGGAAGCAATAAATTGATGGAAACTTCTTGTCTCAGGAATAGTGGTTGCTATTAAAAGTCTATCAGTAAGTTTGTTTCTTACTAGCTCTATTTCTTCAGCAGTGGCGTACACATACATAATCCCACTGATTGACTTTTGACAGTATTCAAACATTGCTTGAGAAGACAGTATTTGATCTGTGGTTGGACTCTGCAAGCTAGCAGTTGCAACAAGCCTTTTAACAGTGCCACCTATTCCATTGCATAGAGTTTGCCATGGCTTGTTGCAAAGAAATTCCAAATGCAACAAACAGAAAAATCTTGAGCATGGTGACATAAATTGTAAAAATGTTTGCAGTTTTTATACTGCCCTGCACAGCCATTCGAAAAATGATGAATTTTTGCACTCAACATTAATTTAACATTTTGGTGTATTGTGCACACAACAGAATGTGTACCTTTTGGACCAGCAAGAATGCACCATTTAGGCCAAAGACTGCAAAATTAAGAAAATCCAATTTTATGGTCTGGGTACTTTATTCTAAATGCCACATAGAGTTCCTTTAACTTTAAGGTTTTCTTTCATGCATTCAACAAGGAAGTCTAGCTTTGGTTTAAATTTTCTTTAGAATTTCCTTGTTGTTTGGTACAACTAAATCAGTTTCAGTGACATCCAGAGCAGTTGCAAGTTTCTTAATAACTGCTTCTTCAACTTGCCTTATCTTTATCTTTCCAAGTGAAGGCTTGTTAGAGGTTTTGGGTAAATGAACTTTTAGAGGAGACACTTCAAGTTCACACAAAGTACTGTTAAACTATGACCTTGCTGATTCCAGTATAATTTCTTTTTCTATATTGTCTTCAGGTAATTTTATCTCCAACTCTTTTTCTTCTGATTCTTTACTTGATGCTAATTTGTGTCTGCATTGTGGACAAATCTTTTCCAATGGTACTACATATTTGTCTTTACTGCAAAGGTACTTTGCTGTATCCAAGTTGGTTTCACGAAGACTGCCTAAAAAAAAAAAGAAGAACTCATTTATATGCATAAAAATGATAATAAAACCATTTAAAGTTTAAAGTTGCATGGCATTCAACAGTGCACTTTCAGAAGTCAGCTAAAAGTAAAGTTAAATATAGCTAAAATAAAATTTTGCCAAGAACTTTATTATTTTACAACACTTATATTATTTACAACATACAACATACAACACTTTCACAAAAAGTTGTAATTACTGTAAATACCTTTTATAACATTCTTATGAGTATTAAATTAATTGCAGCACCATGTTAATTTAGTTGCATATCGCTTCAAATAAACATTTTATGATGGAGACAAGTTGTTGATTTGACATTAATTATTGATAGCCCAGTCCTCCACATTAATATTTCTCTTTCATATTCAGGGATATCTTCAAAAGATTCAATTCCAAGCAACGATGTATATGTTGCAATATGACATACACTTTCTAGCTTGATTCCAATGGAGCACTCTTGACTGCTGGCCATTACTGAGAAACTGAATTACCAAACAAGACTCAATAACTATTTAATCCAAAATTAAAACAGTTTTCATGTTTATACAACTGATGTTTCAAAACTATATTTATATGACATAACTGACGTTAAAAACTTTGTTTATACATGACAGCAGATGTCGCAAAGCTATATTTTTACATGACATATCACTTCACAAAACTTTATTTATGTATCAAAACCAACCTTAAAAAACTGTTTTTACACAACACAACTGAATCCATAAGAGTCAGGAAACTCGAGGAATTAGAGAAAACGTTACCTTGTTTTATGGTAAAGTAATTTTGAATTAAAAAATAGTTATCAAACATTTTAAATTAAGTCATTTTCTTTTTTACTTTGGATTCAGCATCTTCAAAAATAGGTAAAAAATTTTCAGTCAGTTTCTTCCACAAAAAACTTATTCACACATAAATTATTGCTAAAAAATCTTCGATAGAGTCAAAATGAGGAGTTTTTTTATTAGCTTAAAAAAGACATATTTAATTTATTCTTCAAAAAACCAAAACCATCTTTTTATGAAAATAGCTTAGGATCACCTACTTCATTGGGAAAAAAAATTGAATCCATAAGACTTAGGCAACTCTGAGAGTTAATGAAAGCGCAACCCATAGTAACAAAACAAAAAGTTTGACTGACCATTTTAAAATCAAAAAATAATCATCAAAAAATTAAATTTCATTATTTTCATTACATTTTTGAATTCAGCACACTCAAAATTGGTCAGGTACCAATCTTTAGCCACATTTTCCCACTAGATCTTAAAATATTCATTAAAAAGTACTACTGCAAAGTCCATAATGGTGTATGTGGAAAAAATAAGGCATTTTAGGCATTTTAGGCTTTAAAATGTCATAACTTTTGAAACCGTTTGGATTTGGGAGTTCAAGCTTTACATTTTTTCATGTTGCATTGGTAGGTACCACTGGTTGAAATTTGAAAGAAATCTGAGAGGGTGACTAAAAAATTCCAATTTTTTGTCTTACTTTTACATGGAATTACCCTATAACTATTTTATAGCACTCTTAAAATTAGTTATATTTAAAACTCTATAGACACTCTGAAACATGAACGTTGATAAACAAGACTGTTAGGTAAAAAAACAGGTTGCATAGAAGTTTTCGTACAGGTCAATTTATAGAAAGTTTTTAATAAAGAATTAATGAAACTAATATTTAATTTCTAATTGTTAAGACTACATAATTTTTTCTATAATGCCTAAGGTGCAAATGCCTTTTTAAAGTACAAAATATGTTTCCAATCAAGGTAGTGCTTAAACTAAGAGATCTTATTGCAGGCCTTGTTTTAAATAAAAAACGGCTTAGCGCATTAGCTTGTCCTGATTTTGACGTCATAAAATTATCTTTATTTTTTTATTTTTTATTGGGCGGCGCCCAAATACAGTTGGCGCTGCTGAAAATGGTCGAGAATAGCCCCTGTATATATAAATATATATATATATATATATATATATATATATATATATATATATATATATATATATATATATATACAGGCTTCGGCAGGAATAAAAACCGTACGGGCTATGAAAAGCCCGTCTTAAATAGACTTGGCGGGCTATGAGGGCCGCCCGTCTAGATGGTCTTGCACGGGCTTTTTTAAACTTTAAAAAAAATTCTAAAGTTTGAACTTTTTTTTTTTTTAATTTGTTATTTTCTCTTCTTTTTTTTGAATGAAAATGTCATTGAATATTAAACATTTTGTGAATTGCACTAAAATAATATGTTAGAAAGCGATTAACTGTTTAAAATGCTTAATTACTTAAGTAATTAAAACACTGCAGTAAATGAGTTGGATAATACTTAAAACTAAGATTTCAATAATTGTTTTTCAAAGTTTTCACTTGCACAGATCTAATTTCGTTTCACGTGGGTTAGTTGTTTTATGGTTGCTTTTGTTTTGATTTCTTACACGAAGGAACTTTATTCAGTTTTTTATGTTTTTTTTTTTTAATCTTTATTCCAGATAATATCTGGCAGATATAGTCAAACGAATGAATGTGAAAACGACGGGAAAAATCCTCGAAACAACCATGGCGTTTCATCACGTTTCCTTATTCAAGCATTCTAATGTGTTTTTTTACCGAAGTCTTTTTGAGTATATTTATATATTATTGTTTTATTCAAGTATTCGATTAAATTATACAGGTTTTTATCGTGCTTTTTTAGATCATTCGTTTCTCTTATTCTTTGTGAATAAAAATATTACATAATGTTTTCAAAATCTAATTTTTTTAATTATTCAGCAAATAGTTTAAAATCTTTTTTTTTTTTAACTTTGAATCAATGAGCTTGATAGTTTTAGAATTGTTTGGTATTAGCTTGGTAATATGATACGTAACTATGTTATTTTTCAAATTCAATTACTTATATACTCTTGCATTCTATTGGGCGTGCAAATTAAAAACTTAAACTGTTATTTATATTTTTATAACTTTGCTTTACCTATGCCTATCCTGATTGGAAATAGTTATTCTGATACGTGAATAAAAAAATTTGAAATCTAATTTCTTTTAATAAAATAAGTTTTTATTTAGAAGTACTAATAATTTCTTAAGATACCGGGGCTTCCGTTACTTTATATACAATATAAGCATGTATATAAGCGTATGTATGTTGCTAGCTTTAACGTTCGTAGTGCCCTCTATAAATGCTAATGCTTTTAATTTTGCCAGACCTTTTAACTTGCGAAGCAATTCTTTTTTATATTTTATACAAACCATACACCATATTTTCACAACAAAAATTGTTCCATTCTCCACCTCAGTTTCTTTTCCACAGACTCCATCTTTACCCCAAATCAAAAATGTTGCTAATGTAACTCTTCTACAAAATGATGCCATTACTATCTTTACTGAAAAACTTGAATAACTTGAAAAACTTGAATGACTGGATAACTTGAATAACTTTATAACTATAAAGCAACACTATTTATATTATCTACAAAAATTGATTAGACGTTTGTTGATTTTTAATGAGATATTTCATTTTCAATAACGAGTTATATAATTGCATATTAAATAAACTGCCGTCTCTTTAAGAAAAAACGTGAAGTTAACGCGGAAGTTAACGCGGAAATATCACTTTAAATGTCTTTAAAGTAAGACAAACTAGTTTATCGGAAAAAAGCGAAATACATGGATAATTAGTTTATTATCGCTATTATTATAAACATTGAAAAACCAAAACAACATGATACTTCTTGTGCATCACATGTGTATATTTCCCTATTTAATATAATAGTTATTAAATTTTGAACATAATATGGTAATTGTTTGGTATTATATCAAACAGTTATCGTCGTTTTAAAAACTGTAAGATTTAGTTATATTATTTTCTACATCATGTTATACAATAATGATTAAATTGTTTAATTTTTATATTTAAATATAAACAATTATAAGTTGGAGTTTGCTATCCATATTAAAATTATGTCATGAGAGAAGTTTTAAAAGAGTATACTTATAAAAAAACATCAAAATATTCATCTTTTTTTTTACACAAAACTTATGTTTCAGACGGGCTTTATTTCGCCCGTCTAAACTGACTTAGACGGGTGCGGAGACGGACACGGGCTATAGCCCGTCATTCCTGCCGAAGCCTGTATATATATATATATATATATATATATATATATATATATATATATATATATATATATATATATATATATATATATATATATATATATATATATTACTAGACCATTTTCAGCAGCGCCGACTGTATTTGGGGGCCGCCCAAATTGAAAATTGAGGGTCTTTTTTTTTTTAACAAAATCAGCGATTTTTTTACAGAAAATTGTTTTTTGTTTTGGCAAATATTGTATATTTTAAGGGAACTATCGTTATGTATCTTTTTTTCCGAAATGAACATTATTTTTGAAATTTTTATATAACTTCGCTTCATTTGAGTACCAGGTTGACATAATTTTTAAAAACTTTTTTTTTGAAAATATTAGGGACCCATTAAATATTCGAGGGTCTTGAGGGACGCTTAAAATTATTTTTTATTGAAAAAAAATTAAAATTAGTGTTTTTGTATTAGAACACATTTAGGGGGTGAGAGCAGATTATTTTTAAAAAAGTTGTTTTTTGGGACACTCTAATGGTCATATAAAGACATGAAATTGCACAACTTCTTGTTCAAGATGCCAAGAAAGTGTTGTGTAAAGCTGTAAAAGTGTTGCTGCAAAACGAATTATCAAAGTAACAAAAACAATAAAAGCTTTGAAAAAATACCAGTTTATCATTTTCCTAAAGATAAAGAACAAAGAAATATTTGGATAAAAAATATTCCAAATTCTAATCTTTTAGTTTCAGATGAAACTGTTATTTGCCAATTACATTGCCCAGCAGTTTTCGAAAAAGTTAATGTTCAAGGAAAATAAAGACCGAAAATGCCACCATCTGTATGGCCAGGAATACCTTCAAGTCAAATACCTACTCCATTACTATGCCATCGCACAACACAGAAATATTTAAGTGTTGTTAGAAATGTTAGAACTGCTGAACTTAGAACTTTTTTATTGGATGATACAGCAACATATATTGATTTTGAAAATGTTTTATTAAATAATCTAAGGACCTTTTCAGTTTCAATAATAACATATATGATTGAAAAAACAATTAATGTTGAATCTATTACGTTTCATGATGGTATTCCTTTATTTCTTGTTAAAATTTTTGAGAATTTACATTTCGAAAACACTTCATTGTGAAATAAAATGTTTTATAAAAGTTTGTGTAAAAATTGTATAAATATTGTTGATTCTTGGTCAAAGGTTGAGGAAATACTACATTTTAAAAATGTCACGGAAATAGATCATAAAAAAAACATTATTTAGCAATAAATATAAGGTATATCTGCAAAGCTTATTGGAAAAAAAAAAAAAAAGGACCAGATATAATTATACGTAGTTTTAAATATTTTATCTCAAGCTTTATACAATAAACTATAATTGATTTTCAATTGCCATCAGTTAGTACTTTGACACACATTACATCAAAATAAACCAATTATAAATTAATCGTGTAAACCAAGCATTTTTTAAATTATACTGTACTATTCCAGAAAAACCTTGGAAAATGAAAGATGGGATGTATTTACTGTTTGACTTTATTCATCTTTTGAAAAATATTAGGAATCTATGGCTTACAGGAAAAACTGAGGAACTAGTGTACAGTAATAATGGTATTCAAAGAACAGCTAAATGGGAGCACTTAAGTGCTTATATCATTAGAATCAGAAAAGTTAGTCAAATTGTCAGACTTGAATGAAATTGCAATAGCTCCCAAGTCAATTGAAAGGCAAAATGTACCTTCTTGCCTTTAAGTTTTTTCAGATAAGATTTACCATGCTTTGCTAACCTATTCTCAAATAATTTTAAATTCTAAGGATACTGCAATATTTATAAATAAAGTAATATAATTTTAATTTCTAAGGATACTGCAATATTTATAAATAAAGTAATAACCTAGTGGAAAACTTTGAATGTGAAAGGTTGTGGAGCTGATGTAAGACACAATAATCCACTAGAAGCACGTATTTGTAGTCCTGATGATTGCTGTCTTAATACTCTACTTCAGTTTGGTGATATGGCTCTTGAAATCTGTTGTAAAAATGGCAAAAGACTAAATCAGTTATATAATGATACAGCTATATAAATATTTATGAGCTATATAAATATTTATTAGCAACAAGTCATGATTACGTTCTTCTTGGTATGTTTACAAGTGACCACTTAAAAAAAAATTTGGGAAATTCAGAAAAGGTTCCGGAGGTACCTACTTTATAAATGTTCAATTAATTATAGAAAAATTGCATATAAATCACACATCACTGCTGTTATCTTTAAATATTGACATAGATTCTTTTGATTTTAGTTCAGATCATGAGTGTGCTTCTTGTACATATGCTTTATGTAAAGTAGGTAGTGAAACAATTTACAATTTTGAAAAACAATTTCGAGTCATCAATTTCTGATACTACCAAAATGTCTTTGATTTATACTGCTGGTTATGTATGTAGAAATGAATATAATGAAAACAATTTGTTCAATCAAATATTACTTTATTATGAAAAGTTTGGCGAGTACTTCAAGTCTATAGATCGTGGTGGTCTTAAAATTCCACCAGACAATGTTTGCCAATGGTTTTTTTTTGCTTTGTCTTATTCCATTCGATAAAAGATAAAGTTTGTCATAAGTCCTTAAGTGACATTTTTTTGCTAGTTTCTGAATTTTACTATTTTGAAATTAACCAAAACATTGCAACACGCTTGCTAATATATTTATAAACAATTTTTATGCACAAATTACACAAAGATCTAATAAAGAATCTGCATTAAAAGTTTTAAAGTTATCATAAATTTGTTTATAAAAGAATGATTTGTATCTGCTGTTGTTAAAATATATGCAAATATTTTCTTTGTTTTAGTTTTCTTTTAATTTAAATTTTTAACTTTTTATTACATTTTAATATAAATATTTCTAAACAAACTAATTAAACTCATTAACAGTCATATTTTGACTCCAAAATATAATCTTATATCAGAGTTGCTGATAATCCGTAAAAATAATAGGCCCACAGTCACGGCTTATGGTTCCACAATGAATAGGCCTTCAGTATAGATTGCTTTGCTTCAAGCGTAAATTTAAACAAAAAAATTAATAATAGAGTTATATATAGTTTTTTTTTTATTTAAAAAAAGTTAATAATAAAGTTATATATATATATTTTTTATTATTATAAAAAAATAAACTCTTCATAAAATGTCATTTAAAGTTTGTAATAATCAATATTTTTTTATTTTTTTGATAAAATCAATCATTATAACAAAACAAACAAACAATATTTAAAATACCAAAAGTGGCGCTAACAAAGAATAAAATTTAACGAGTAGATTTTTTAGCTAATAACTTTTTTTATTAATTTTTATTTTTTTAAATTCGGTAACTATTTTTCTTATTGCTTGTTATGAGAAATTATCTAAATAAATATTCTTGCTCAAGATAATAAATGTTTCTTTTATAATTTGTTTTTTTAAGCGTTGTGTAACATCTTTTTTTCTTTTCTTTTACTGAACATTTTTGATGAAAAAGTTACAATAATAAAAATAGTTTTTTGTTTTTATTTCTTCTTAGCTAATTACATCTGTATATGTGCGAATATCAAACAATATTTTTATGCAAACTATCATCATTCAAACTTCATAAGTGGTTTTTTTAACATTAATTACTTCTTTTATCTTACAGCTTAATCGATATCTTTAAACTTGTTTAAATATTAAAAAAAGAAGTGGCTCGATTGAAATGATTTTATTGCTTATAATAAATGGCTTTTGCCAGTTTACGCTTTAAAACAAGGTCTGTAATTGTGTTATTTTTTAACAAAATTTTTCTTAGAATTTATTTTGATATAAAAAAAAAATCCTTGCTCGAGTTCTTCATAGTCACAAATATCACAAAACTTTTATAAACTCCTAATAAAAAGCAAAAAGCATGCAGATAAGTAATTGTTACAAATAAATTTTGAAGGGATAATGTTCTGTTAGAATTCTTCTATGGTGGACAAGGTGAATAAATGGAATAATTAAAAAAAAATAGTTAATGGAAAAAAAAAAGGATTGTATCAAATATCAAAAAAAGATTAATTATTTATTTTACATTAAAAAAAACAAAACAAAAGTGCCTCCCTTGGCTCAGAGGATGTGAATAAAATTTTTTTACAAAAAAAAGTGTAATTACAAACAATGCTTAACACTAGAACAAAATTTAAAATATATATATTATGATTAAATATAGTATGTTTCTCTGAAACAGTTTAATGCTAAGTTGACAGATTCAACACATTTTTTTACAACCTCAAATTCATGTTATGAAACTTAAATTCATTAACAGACTCATTTAACGAATGAATCAGGCAACTTTTTTTAAAACTATAATGCTCAATTTGAAAAAAATATAAGAAAACTGAGTATGCCATAATCTTTTTTAGTTTAATGTCCTATTCACATTTTTCAATAATTTTATATTTAAAAAATTGTACAAGATTTTCTCATTTTCTTCTTACAGTTAAACTTAATAATTTAAAATAATTTTGTAACTTAGAATAGAATAGGAAATGATGTACACACTTGAGGTGTGTTGAGTCTTAACCAGTGATATTTAAGTTTGAAATATAATTTCTATTTCAGTTTTTATTCAGTTCTCGTGGCGTTGATTTAATTTCTATTTCTAATTTTACTTGTAAAATAATTCTTATTTTAGTTTTAAATCAGTACTCTTAAAATTAATTTCACTTAAGTTCTTATGATTTCAACAATTCTACTTCTTATTTCAGTTCCTAATTCAGTTAATATTTTACTTCTCTCAAGCTTTTTTGGAAAATGTTAATAAACTTATTAACTTTTTAAGTATCATTATCAAAGTTTCAAGAAACAATATTAAAGCAATTTCTTAATATAATATAATATAAATAAGCTAACAATAATTGTAAAACAGTCATTTAACAATTAAATTGAATTGACATGAGATTTTTTTTGAAACTGTACGAAAATATATGCTTGAATTTCAATCACATATTCTTGTTTAGTTTAATAAAAACTCTCATCTCTAATGATATGTTTTCATTCAATTACAGCACCCAACAGTTAAAATTCCACAAAGTGAAAAAATTGTTTCCACAAACACCTGTGATGCTGGGGCAGACAAGAAATCTTTAGCCAACATTGCAATCTTATTATACTTGTTTTTGTTTTGTTTCCAAAAGAGCAAGATTACAGTTTATGTCTCCCAAATAT